CATCAGGAAGTAACTTTGACTCTGGCCCATGCTTGGGCTGCAGCTTTGGCACTGGTGCCAAATCGAGCCTCGGCTTTGTCAAGATGTTGGAGTGAGATTTCAGCTCCTGCCCCATCTGTGGCAGCAGTTTTGGCTCTGGCCTCACCTCAGGTTGCTATTTGGGTTCCAGCCCCATCTTCTTTGGCTCTGAAGAGTGCTTGGGCTAAAACTTTTTGGCTCCTGCCCCTGATAGGGTCATATCTTGGCTCTGGTCCTCATTTGGGCATTATTTTGCCTCCAGCCCCATCTCAGGCTCTTAAATTAGCTCCAGCCAGACTTTGCCACTAGCTCTTGCTCGGGCTGCTACTTCAGCTCTGGGCCATGGCTTCAGCTTGACCTCCTGCTTGAGCGGTCATTTGGGCCCTTACACAGGCTGCATCATCTTCAGCACCATCTTGGGCCACAGCTTCTGGACCAGCTCCTTTTCAGGTTGCTACTTTAGCTTTGGCTCCATCCTGGGATGCAGCTCTGGCTCTAGCCCCAACTCAGGCTGTAACTTTGGCTCCAGGTCCTGCCTGGGCACTACTTCAGCTTCTGCTTGGGCTGCAGCTTCAGTTCCAGCTTCTGCTCTGGCAGGCACTTGGTGCCTTCATGTACCTATATGGGGTGCAGACAATGAGGTGCTCTGCAGTGGCGTTATGGGTGCGGGAGGGAGCAGGCAGAAGTGGGGCAAGTCACCAAAGCAGCAATTTCTCTGCTGCCTGTGTGGTGAAAGATACCTTTGTCCCAGTCTCACCAGATTTCTGAAGGTTTTGCAGAGGTGGAGGCAGCCCCTGCTAGCACATCACCAAAGGGGGGGGGAGACGGGCACTGGCTTCCAGCCACAGGGATCCATCAGGAATGAGAACTGCACCCTACACAGAAATTAAGTTGTAAGAAGTGAGATATGAGGATGAAAATCATCAACTTTATCTTATAGTTAAAGTCACCAAGTGTGGCTGGGTACGTGCTGGGCACCCAGTGGACTGACTGGATCACCCAGGAACTCCCCACCTGATCTCTGCACCACTGGGGCAATGCATTGGTTCCAGATGAGGCTCCCTTGAGACAAGGTCACCAGTACAACCCAGCATCTGATTAATTGTCACAAAGGCTTTTTTCAAAGAAGTCTTGAAGATTTCCCCTCCTGCCCAGCATAGATCCATTCACATAATCATGTGCTTTGTTAACTGACAGGGCGGCTGCCTCAGAAACCCCTCGAGCTGCAAAACTGACCAAACAGTACCCAGGTGAGGCACTTGCCAACAGGCCCTATGAGCTGTTCCTGCAGATGCAGAAATGGCCACAGGACAGACACATAGTTAAGAGAGATCTTTTGTCCTTAGCATGGGTAGAGATGGATCATGTAAGTGCTGGAGTGGTTGCAGGTCAGCTGGACAGAGGGAAGGGCAAGAGATGGGGGTCCCAAAAGGGTGCCTCTGCATAATGAACAAGTTCTAACATGCCTGAGGGGTACAGACCCCTCCCAGGACACCAAGGGGCCCCTGTGCAACCCCTGCCATGTGCAGAGGGATCCTGTGGGCTGCACTGAGAGGTTCCCACATCTGGCCCCAGCCAGCAGGGATGACCATGCAGCAGTACTGGGGCAGACTTGGGGATTTGCAGAGTGCTGCAGGACACGGGCGATGCTGGCTGGGAAAAGGGAAAGCAGAGTGAATGCCAACATCAGAAGAATGTGTGCATAGGGACAGTAAGGAAAAGTACACTACAACAGAAAAAAGAAAAGCCTCTGTTAGCTCTAGTCCTACACTAGTGCTCATCTCAGCAGCATAAGAGTTCACAGAATTATTTTTTAATAATATTTATCAGAAACATGGCACTTCACATCTTCAGGGCACTGAATATACAATGATTATTCCTCACAACATCCCTGTGAGGTAGGCATCAGACTGCAGTTACTATTTGACATGTGGACAGAGGCAGAGAAGTATGTAATCAATCCTGCACAATTAAGCTAATGAAGTTCAACTCACACATGGAGAGGCCCTCAGTGACTGGACTGAAAACACAAGAGCAGGCCAGAGCCAAGGCATTGCCAGCTCTATTCTTTTACTACAGGCCATCACAGGTCCCACTCTTATTGCTTCCCCACATCCCCCTGTAAAACAGCACCTGTTAAACAAGATCCACCTGCAGAGAGTTGCTACAAAGTGAGATCTGTAATAGAAATAGGAAAAACACTTCAATTTAGCCAACATTTGAGTAAAACCATGAGAGTAGTTTGTTTGCCTGCCCAGTCAAATAGAACAGTTTCAACTTTAGTCCTTTATGACATCTCTGAAGCAGCATTGCAGGCTTCAGGTTGAGCAAATACTTATAGCTAAGAAAATCTAGGGGAAAAAAAATGATTGGTAGACTGTGACCACTGTCTCAGAAATTATGCTTATTTTAGTTAAATTGTTTTACTCAAGTCTGAGGGATTCCTGAACAGGAGGAAGAACTTCTGGGTTTAACTCTAACTTTGCATGTATTTAAAAAGCCCCTTAGTATACCAACTTCTCAAGTAAACTTCTCTTTCAGAATTTTTTTCCAAAAATGAAATAGAACAGTTTTGTAAACTTTTAACATAATTTAAAAAATCCTAGGTTTTAATATACAATTACTGATTAATTTCCTTTTATAACTTTATTTCTACTGTAAATCAACTTTAGGAAACAAGTTATACTTGATAGTATGGCTACTGTGATTAACTCCTCTTCCTGTAGCTCCCAGTTGAGATTTCCAAAGAGACACACTGTCCAAGACAAACTCCTAGTCTCCACCTGCAAGCCGTCACAGCTGAAGCCAACGCAGCTGTGACAAATTCATGCAACCCAAGCAGCAAATCCATCGAGTCCTTCATGTGCAGCATCAGTGACAACGGTCTGTCTCCGAGAGGCTGAAGAGGCCTGGCTCCACATACTCTGAAAACATGTTGCCTTCCCAGCAGAGAAACCTTTATTCTCATTTAACAGAAGATTCAGTCTAATGCAATAATGGCTGCGCACTATGATGGAAGAAGAATAAAGTAGTGGCTTTTGAAAGAAACCCATCTTCGGGGGGGGGGGCAGGCTGTGTAAAAAAGAAAAAACCCAAAAAACAGTGAGGGAAGAGTAACTGTTAACATCATTACCAATGGACACATGACCTTCTAATCTGAGATTTGCTTTTTCTTCTGTAAATCGACATTTTGTCACAAACTCTGACCCAGAGAATTTAACCTTGGTGAATGTACAGAATTTTTAAGTCCACAGAGGAACTGTAGTCTCCAGACAAGGGGGAAAAAAAAAAAAAGAAAAAAGCTCGAAAGTGCACTTTGTATATCCTGCCTCACAAAGGGTTAAAGTGCAAAGTTTGATATTTCCAAAAGTTAAGCATCTCTCCTAGTCCTTTATTTTTTTAAATGAAACTTTTTCTTTGGTTTCTTGTATCTTCTCCGTAATTTTATCCTTTGTTTCCTCCATCTTCTCCGTAATTTTATCCTTTGTTTCCTCCATCCTATCTTGTAGATATTCCTTTACTGGTGGTGGTGTGGACATGTAGCCATTCTTACGTAGATATTTAACAGTGATGGATGTTCCTCCCAAAGTCACAGTGTATCTGGCAGGAGTTGCAATCTTCAAGAAACCAAAGAACACACCACATCAATAAACCAGGACAGTATTATCTAGAAAAAGGCATTTTTATAATATTGGCCAGTGTCAGAGACTAAAAAGATCTTCTATTTATAAGGAAATAAGCCAATCTGCAGCGCATCCCCCAGAAATGGACACCTGTTATGTAAAGTATCCTTTTGACAAAACCAGCACAGGCATTAGACTTCCATTTCAGAAGAACCAGCTCCCTGTGCAGCCTGTGGGATGAGCATTAGGGTTCTGAGGATGCAATTCGGAACAGACAGGATGTGAACCCCGAGCCACACAAGCAGAGAGGAAATATGGACATGATGCGCTTTAAATTCTAAAATGTCCTAAAAGAGTATAGGCACCTTTCAGTGCAGAACTAGGACCCACACATAGAAAACCAGAGCTAAGAGGTCAGCTAATCCAAGACACAACAAACCAGATTTGTTACTCCAGACAGACCACCTGCTCTTTCCAGACCTCAAAGATAAAGCCTGCACAATCTTCCCTTTGCAACCTATCCTAGCGCTTCCACAGCTTGAAAGTTTCTTCCCACACTGCCAGATCTCTCAGCTGTAATAAAATCTCTGTATTTAACCACATTTATTTATTGGTGTCTTTTAGGAACAAGAATTGGCAAAAGTAGGGTTTCCATGTTTTGTTTGGGAAAATAACCCCTTTAAATCACAGATAAGCAGCCCATTGCATTTGGAAACAAAACAGATGACCAACACTCGAATACAGTCCTTTGTTTTTGCATGGTCTGACATGCTTCAGGTTTCCCAAATACGGATTGTGCACATTTAAAGCAACAGAGACTGGACCCAAACCTGAATGCAAGTCATTGATTGAAAGGGACAGTGAAAGTACTTGACAATGATGGAGACCTAAGGTAGGAAGACAAGCTAGCAAATCCTCTAGGATAAAAATAACTTTCATCTGGAAATCATGAGGTGTTTAGACTTTACCTCTTTATCCCTGTTAATTACGTCAGGGATACAGAGGAATAACTTAATTGTAATTAAATCTCTGAGGGCAGACAATAGTTCTGCAGCAAACAAAGAAGTTATTTTAGAAATATAGACAGACTCCTTAAAGGGACACAGAGCCCCTATCAACTTGTGTGTGACTTTTTACCACAAAAAGGAATGCTCAAGTATGTGTAACTATCCAAGAGAAAAAAGCATTAGTTCTCTCCACTGCAAACCAACCAACCCTATTTCATTCACCAGGCAAGGTTTAAAGTTTATTTACAAACTGTACTCATACTTACTTTATACAACGCATACGCAGTTAGTGCATTTCCACTCTGGGAATTTTTCAGGATGTCTACTATGCTGCCTGGTAACCCAATCAGCTCTAGGAATGGAACAACATTCACTCCTCTACAAAAGAGAAAAAAATCGGCAACCTGAATTGGAATTTGAAACCTGAACAGTGATTTCCAGTACCATTTCCTTTATTACACAAACCTCCTAATTCGATAGCAGAGTATTTTTTCATCTAAGCAATCTACTGACAGGATTTATATTTCTGTACATATATGCAAATTAATGTTCTTTTCAGCACTGCAAGAGGTGACCCATTCATATTATCCTTGTTGGGCTGAGTAGCTACTAACTTACCTGCGTCCAGTTTATTATGTTTGGAGGTAAGCAGATACAGTGGTAGTAAGACACCAGGCTCCAGTCGTGCAGGTTCAACTTCATGTTCTGTTTTGCTTAAAATTACTTTTTTTTTTCCTTTTTAAAATTTCAGACTAATCTGCAGCATGCCCAGAAGCACAGAATCCACACTTCAGTGTCCTCCATTCACTTTTAAATACATCAGACAAATGCAATGTGGCAAAAGAGAAGGAAGCAACATGTTACATGGACAAGACTTCAGGGGTTTCGTGCCCAGTTGCTCTACGTTGTCAATACAGGGTGGCAAGATGGGTGGAGGAAGCTCCTATCACAATTTCTTTCTATTTGAAAACCAGCAAAGCTAACTAACACGAGCACCAAAGAAAAAAAAGACAGCCCATCTTTACATTCCAGGAGAAAGCTACATGCAGTTACAGAAGACCCAACTTTCCAATATTTAGAGATGTTGTAGTATTAGTATCAGTATTGATTTCTGCCCAATATTTTAAGCATTCTTCTCTGCATGTGATCACTTTAGCATCAGGAACAGCAACAGGGAGTAATTTACCAGCAGTTCCTAGAAGCTATAATCTACAGGCCTTTCCCCAGAGTAGAAAATGGAGTTAGCCAGATCTGAAAGACAGCATTAACTGTGTTACTTCACAAACTGCCGCTGTTTAGCCTCGTATCATGAGCAGTCATTCTGAAAGTCATTCTTCCACTTCAAGAGGGTGCTGCCCCTGTGGCAGGACAAACTGAAGCTTTGTTATAATTAGTTTCTAGTTAAGTATTTCAGTTGTTTGCATCCGTCAGATACCTATTTTAGCAGCTAACTCAAGTGTTTCAAGAAGAGTAATCTTCACTCAGCCTGAAATGGCTGGATGTAAGCATCATCCTGAATTCAGCCAAAGTAAAATATTTTTATAGCTCAAGACCTTTATTCCTTTGACATGAGCTAAACTTAGAATGACATTTGGATCTATAGCTCCTATAAAGGGCAATTATGCCAGCTGGTTAGAGTAACTAAAACACTCGTGCAGTAAAGGCATTCTGATGTCAAAGCACCATCCTTGCCGCCACCAACTGTGGTGGTTTCATGGAATCACAGAATCATTTTGGTTGGAGAAGACCTTTAAGATCATCAGGTCCAACCATTATCCTAACACTGCCAAGCCCATCGCTAAACTATATCCCTAAGCACCACATCTGCAGGTCTTCTGAACGCCTCCAAGGATGGTGACTCCACCACCTCCCTGGGCAGCCTGTTCCATGCTTTCTACTATGAAATACACAACACTAGCAATCCAGAGATAAACATTTACTCATATTTAGCAAATCTCTTGCAGGTAGATAAAACCTCTTTCATCTGAACTAGCAGCTCATAGCTGATATAGTAGGTTTTTTTCTAAGAAATGCCATTTTCCCCGAACAGTAACTGGCACACACTATAGCTGAAAGAAACTAAATTAGAATACTTAATTTATCTTTTTTTTTTAGCCACACAAATATTTAATTTCCAATTAAAAAGTCTGGCCTACAGTAGCAATTTTGTCAGTGGAGGGCAGGAAAGACAGGAAACAGAAATAAAAAAGGAAAAGATACACATAGCTTGGGAGGAGCTCAGAATGAGGGGAATGACAAAGTCCAATGATGAGGGAGGATTGGGGAGGAAGCAGGGGAGGAAGTGGTGAAATATTCCTCAAGTCCAGTGGCAAAAAAAGAACAGGTCTATAAAGATTACACCTAGCAATTCGTAATCAGGATTCTTAAATCCCTACCTTTACCTTGGGAGAGGTAACACTTTCCATGCTGTTTACATCCAAGCATATTTTGGGGAGATGCACATTGCTTCAAATGTCAGTAACATCTCTGGTACACAGAAATAGCTGCATGGTAATAGTACGTATATGACACTCATGAATCCTATATACACTTTTGATATTAATCTTGTGCTTCGGTTAAATGTGGCCTCATTTCCCTATTACATATAGAGGCACTTTTTAACGTGTAATAATAACAACTTATAGGTCCTTTCACCTGTGAAAGTCAGCCTCAATTCAACAACAGTATTGGGCACTGCAACAAAATACCAACTTACTTCATGGCTGCATAGTAAAAGGATCCAAACCATACAGTGGAAGTCAGAAGATGCACTGGAATCATGACTTTTCCATATTGTTTAAAAGTTTTCTTGAATCTCTGAACGAGACTAATTGATTTGTCTTGCAACGGATCAGGATCTGAAGAAGCTGAGTCCACAGGGCTCTGCTTGGCCGAAGTCAAAGGACCTCTCTCTTCTGGTGCTTTGTGAGGAGTGTCTGCTGGCTGTGATGAAAAAGCACTTTTCCTTGAGGCAAAGCATGCTGTACCTGCATGAAGACATCGTATAGGAGGGTCCAGTGCCAAAATCACTTTGCAGCCAACATCAGATGACACCGACTGTCCTTTTAAGCACTGCAAGATACTAGTGCGAGGCAAAACCAAACATGCCCCATGCACCAGCTGCGATGCAGTATGTAACAGACTCCGCTGCATTTTGACAAAATGTGGCTGAGGTTTCTATAGAGAGGGAACAAGAAGAAATGTGTAAATGAGTGGCATTTCAATAATTGGGTTTCTACTTGCTGCAATGCCACTTGGAATTGTCAAATTTTAAATGGCTTTCTATTCTACTTTAAAAGGTTTTCCTTATCTTGCTTTGCAGAAATTGTTACCTTCTAGAATTGAGCAGATCATTTTAGATCTCACTTCTTTAGCATTCTAAACTAAAATTGCCCCTTCACTTAATACACTCTGTTCCTCACAGCTAAAATGCTCACTCTGCTCTCTAGAAACATTTTTAGATGTTTAGTGCTAACTACAGCTTTTATCTGCATAACCTGGCCCAGTCACTGAGAAGTCATCCTGAAACTTCACTTCTAGTAGCAACTGATAGTTTGAGTGATACTTTGAGCCTACGTAAACATAGTATGAACTAAGTGAAGTGCAATCAAAATTGATTTTTGATGTCAATACATTCTTAGTTTTGGTATAATTTTTCATGTTCTATACCATTTTGAACTAGAAGTTCATACAGTAAAAAACCCCAATAACCATTATTATTAATAATCAATGTTAATAGTAACAAACCTAACCACAACAGCCTGCCAGTATACGTGTGCTAGGAAAAGGGACGGTACTGTTGAATGTCATGTATTAACAGGGGCAAAACTGAACTGCAGTGTCAGAAATACGACAACGCAAAGAATATTTTAAAACTGCAGATAACCAGTTACCTTATGATTTTTGAATACTTAACAGTCACTCCTGAAAGCTCGAAAGAACCATTGAGAGACTCCCCACCAAAAGAAGAAAGGAATTTAGTTTGGCGTGTATAGACATCAAGAAGTCATTTTTCACCCCCAAAATGCATGCTTTGAACTAATAAATGAAATACTCTCTCCTTTCCTTTATACAGTGACTGCAAGTTACAGAACAAATTTCCCTCCCCTCCAAAAAAAGTGCCACTAATTGTTTTTATGTAACAAATGCCAGTTAAGTCAGTTATATCACAACTTTCAAATCCTTCTGATGCTTTTATGTTTTTAATTACCATAATTCTTGAACCAAACTAGACATCATTCAAGTTTAATTGAAACTCCACTGTTATCTTCATGTCTGCTTCCCCTTCACCTATAGCCTTAGATACATTTCAGTCAGGTGTTTTGATAGTGAATTTGTCTAGGTTGCTGAAAATGATCAATACTTATAACGTAGGCAGAAGTTAAAAAAAAAACAAACAAAGCCGTACATACCCTTAATGACTTCCCAGATACGCAACAAGAGAAGTACGATAAGGTTTGTCTCTTCAAAAAGTTGCAACTCTTCCACTAGTTCCCCACCTTTCGGATATGTGTCTTGAACATATTGATGACTCTGCTAAAGTAGAGGAAAGGCACATTTAGAGAAACAGCAACAACAGCAAACTAATATTATGAAGATTTTCGGTTAGCCTGAAACCTTGCTTACTGGAGTTACTGGTATAACTCCCCTTTGGATACCAGCACGCTAAGTGGAGGGTTTTTTCTGCATAACTTAGAAGTTCCACAACTGTGAAATAGTGTCTCCTTCCAAGACAGAAAAGTTCCACAACACGAAAAGTTGGAATATTCCTGCTTATATGTTTTCTAGGTATTTTAATGTTATTGTTGTGCTTGAATTAATTGCGATTACTAGAATTACAATGGTTGATGTGGGGAAAAGGTTGGAGAAATCATTTCAAACTCCCTGGGAGCCTCTACCTTGCATGTGAAGCCAGACACCCACTTTCATCGAACTCCTAACAGGAATTGTTGCATCAACAGGGGAAAAGGGAATTCTCTTCTCTGTGTAAGCAAGCAGTTATTCACTCCTGTTATGAACTCAGTGGGAGCCAAGAAGCACTGCTGCTTATAGAGCAGTAAATCAGCTACAGGTACTGCCTCCCAACGGGTCAGTTTTCTGTAAGAATTCACGGGAAGTAGCAACTGCTTGTAGTATCCTTGGTTTTATGACAAGCAGAGATTCTTGCTGACTTCTTATGTCCAAATGCAAGTTTCTCTAGGCAAGAAGCAGTGAAAATACTCAGCAAAACTCAAGCGTTAAGATGGCACCCTGTCATATACCAACTCCCTTACTGATTTATAGACATTATAACAACAAACTGGAAGAAGACAACTACATTGCTTGCCTATTGCCACTTACACTCCTCTCCTGAGGGATAACACTCTCCACAGAGGACTGTTTTCCCCACTTACTAATAGTACCCAACACTGAGCAACTGCCCTAAGTAAACTTTTACACTATCCAGCCAGCAGACTCAGCAAAGGGTACCCATCCATCTATGGTAAATTGAGAGCTCTTCAGTCAGACTTCTGCTGTTCATCTGTTTCAGTGGACAGTACCCTACTGAAAAATATCTGTTCCAAACAAGCTTTGAAGATTGCCACCGTACAGCATGGGGGAATCCATGCTCGGCACTCTGATTTTGGTTCATTAATGTTACTAACAGGACTCTGCATTCCAACAGCCTTGGCAGGAGACGACTCTTCCATACAGAAGCACAAAGAAACCGAACAAGTAGGTCTGAATTTTCCCATTCTATACAGGGTATATGCAGTAGCATTTCTCAGAACACCATTTCTAGGTTGTGCTGTCCAGCACCTACTGACAGCACAGAAGTAACACTGTGCCACACCTCTCTTTCATTGCAATGGCTGCAGAACATCGGGGTATGAAATGGCTTCCAGGGGGTGAGAATTCTTCATGTGAAGAAGCAATGGGTCACTACTGTAGCTAACATAGTTGTGATTAGTACATGAGATTCAAGACCTCTGCTCACAGCATTACGTGCACCGCTTAAGCCTTAAAAATAGAATGTCACCGATGGCTTTAAGGCAGGGGAACTACAAGACTTGTCCTGCCACTTGTCCTATATCCTCAGATGGACTTGGAACTCATTAACTACAGGGGTTTTCTCCATGATGCAACATATGGCTGGTCAAAGGGAAGGTTCTCTAACCATCTAGGGTAGATCCTGAAAAGGTCCTGAACCTTGTAAGCACAGACAACAGTGTGGTTCTAGCTAATACCACGTGGAACAGCTTACTTTTTGCTTCTCCAATTAAAAAACCCCACCTTTTTGCTAAATGCTTGATATATAAGGAAAGGCTTAGATATGATACTGCTTATATTTGAGAATAAAAGAAAACAGATTTTTCAAAACAAGGTTGGAATTTTCCTAACAATCCTACTGTGTTTCATAGGTACATGTGTTATTTCACTTACGTAAGTGAATAAAGGAGAGACTTTGGAAGTGCCAGTAAGCTGAGAATTACGCTACTCTCCAGCAGCACTACAAGACTAAATGCGGGAAGCATTAGAATGGTTACAGCAGGATGCAGGAAAGGCCAATGAGTAAACCAACAGATTAATATAGCATACACTTTGTAAAATGATTTTAAAGAAGTGAATATTGTTAAAGGGGTGATGGGTGCAGCGGCCGAATTTTAATTACTTGGCTCAACATTGCAAACAAATCTTAAACAGGACAGACAACTCAAAGTGCACAATAAATGTGGTTGGAGGTCCAAAGAAATAGGAAGCTGTAGTTGTTTCATCCCTCTAAGACATGAGATGAATACAGAGGAATCTGTCCTTTAAGATGCACCTAGTGAAAGGAAGTTCCCAGTACTCCATGTACTCAACAGGCAGCAGGAGAAAGTGTGGCAGCCTATGGATTTGAGACACAATTTTATTCTCTAAGTATAATACTTTCCTAAAGAAATCACTGGAGCTATATAAGCTATACAATTGCCCCTGTAACTTTAGATTGTTAAAACCACTCAGATTCTAAGGAAGTCAGGACAGTAACCTAAATATTATCCACAATTGCACCTAGTGACTTTTCAAAAGGTGTTTCTTCAATGTAGTTTGTTTTTTTTTTCCCCCCCCATGCTGTTGCATGATGTTGCAAAGAAAGGACAGAAGCTAGAAGCTTCAGATACCAAGGTGGAAAAGCAGGTGGTCTATAGCATGAGAATTTGGAGTGGGGCAGAAGGTGTTTTAGAGCATCTTAGTTTCTACATTAGCTTTCTCTCAAAAGTGACACAAGGGAAAAAAAAAAAAAAAAAGATGTCTAAGGACAAATATAGCTGTTCTCTGGTGTAAGAATCCCATGTGGTGAGTGAATAGATGCTAGTAGGACAAACTATGCAATGATATACAAACACTTCTGGGATAAGGTCTCCTCAGTGCTGGCACGTTCTGGCTAACTATTTAATAGTATCTCCAGCTAGCTGCAAACTGAGCTGAGATCTTGGCTGTGCAGGACACACTCCTGGTAGGGATTCTTGGACACCCATTTAGTTCCTGACGGTGGGTCTGTCTCATGGCAAGCTATTAAGGAGCCCTGCGACACAAAGGGAGTGCTCTAGTGGCCTCTTGAGGAAAAGTATAGATCAGCTTCTCATTACAGCGCTGGAGGTTTTGTTTAGCAAACTTTGTACTTCTGTTATAATTCAGATCAGCTTTGACATACACCTGGTGTACCGCAGGAGCACCCTATCTCTCACGTTTGCTCTGCTAACTCTTTGCCTCCCAGTGATTACTAGCAAGTAGAGATCAGACTTGCTTTTGTTCCTGAGGACGGTAAAAGTTCAGGAACCTTTAATGTCACAGAGTTGGTCTATGTGACTACCACAAATTCATGGGTGTGCTAATGTTTTATGCCAAAAAGAAACAGGGGATCATTGGAAAACACAGC